CTCCAGGTTTGAAAGAAATGGGAGCTGGATTTGTTGGGGGGGGGGGGTTCACCGTTCACCTGTCGTGAAGTTTAGACTTGATGTGGACATGTGCTATAGACTGACAACATTCATTTCGGGTACAGCTTCCGGACGTCGGGATCTGAGACAAGAAGATGGCGAAGGGGATGTGGTGGCGAACGGTTGTGGTCCTGGTGTGTAGGAGTTGGGGGCTAAGGACACTCGTCTGCAACAGGATCATATAATGATATATAATGATCACCACCCGGTTAGTTTGTGGCAGAACATGGCAGAACAATCGAATCATCATATAAAACTTTGTGAAACAGTCAAGGACATTGAAGGACATTCCCATGCAAATGCGAAATATGTGAAGAACATGGTAGAGCCGCCACCACCGCCATCACCACCACCACCATCACCACCATCATCATCATCATCATCATCATCATCCACATCCTCGGCTTGGCCGCCAGGCCTGTCCAAGAGTCCATGACAGTTTTCAAGAAAACCGGATGGCCCGGATGATGAAGTTTCTCCTGTAAGGGCCAAGACTCACATGATTTCGCCCGTATCCACACAGCACACATGATTTTCACTCAAAAGGTGAGTCCCCAATGGAAACGTGTTTTGCTTCCACACTCGTTGGGCAGATAGATATTTTGATCGTCCAATATATGCAACACACTTTTTTTACCATATGATGCCATATATGTATATGGCATATATATAGATATTATGTATATATGCTTGTTGGTATGCATACTATGGTTTAGCCTCCTCTCGTCACTGTGATCTCGGCCTCGAGACACTGAACACACTGATCGATGTGCCTGTTTTCGTCTGGAGTTTTCCTGGATCGTCCTTAGGTTTGACTATAAGCTCCAGTATAAGCTCCTATAACCTTGACATCCCTTGATCCCTCTTCGCTCATGAATTTGCTGCCAAATGTATAGCTTAAACATGCTTAAACCCTAAGCAGGGGATCCACAAGGCGGACCTTTCTGCCTCAAGCAGACAGAATTTAGTCACCTCGGAGTAGTTTGGGCAGATGATGGACTTCTGCTCTTTGGATGATGAACTTCTGCACTGTTGGCTTCCCTAGTTTGGTGGATGCTCTAGGCACTCCCAATTACAGAGTGCCTACATAGATAGCAACGATAACAACCATATCCCTGAGATGCTCGATCTTTGAAGGAACATGCAAATAGGGAGTCGTCGTCACAAATCAAAAATTGAATCATCACTTAGCTGCCACATACTTCACCTGCTTTGCAACTCGTGAGTTAGCCTACATTGATCTTTAGAAGCCAAAAGCCTCAAGCCACACGCTGGAGTTACACGGTGGAGTCGTTTCACGCAGTTCGGCGCCGAACGCGGAGCGAAGCCACAGGAACCTGCTCCAAAGGTGATGCAGGTCCTCCAGGCCTTCCGGGTGACGGATCGGGCGGGTGTGGTTGTTTCAGGCGTCTTCAGGATGGTTTGAATGCCTGAAACAACGTGAGATTCTATGAGATTCCTATCATGTCCTATCACTAAAGAGGATAGAAGAGGTATTTTATAACAAAGACGCAAGATGTTGGCATATGTTGGTTAAGTAAAATCTTGGGTGATCAGGGGCATCCATCTCGGGATCGTGCCGCCGGACATCGTTTGATCTCGGGATCGATCTCAAGGAGCGAGGAGCGACCGCTCCGCGAGTTCCATGCACGACCGGAGCGACCGGAGTTCCCCAATAACCGGCGAGTGATTGGGAATTTTCATGAGTTGATCAAGGTTGTAGGAAAATACATCCTATATTTACCAGCTCAACCAAAAGTGCTAGAATTCTCACACCACCTTCAAAAAGTTAACTTTTTGAAGAATACATGCTCCGCAAAATTAATAGTCAATTTTTTGTTCAATACTCAGCCCAGATACGTAATACATGCTCCACTTGATTTTCTCCGGGTTATATCTATCGATATTATGGATATCATAACGTATAATGCATGGAACCAACATCCAAGCCTTTTCACTCCTCTCCCCGCAGGTGCTTCTTTAAACTAGTGAAGTAGACGTCCAAAGTTCTTTCAATGGTCGCCTTTGGCGAGACACGCCTTGAGTAGCGTGAAAGAACACCAACAAAGGCCTCATCTTGCTGACAACTGTCTGCCAATGGGTTCTCTTGCCACTCAACTTTGGCTGCCCAACACTTCATCAGGTGGAAAGTGTGGAACAGCATGTGATGCTTGCTGTGAACAGGAAATCGAGGCTCTTTTGCAGCAAGGCAGATCTGGGCAAGCTTGACATACACACGCAGGAATGTGAGCCCAAGCGAAGAGATCTCAGCAGCTTCTAGCCTGTGTAGCCAGGCACCACCATGGTACAGAAGACGCAAGGCACGGTTCATGCAGGATGTGCCCAAAAGAACGAGCTTGAACCTTTCACTTGCAATTACAGCTTCGTAGGTGCCAGAGCCTGTGAGGAACTCCTCCAACCACTCCATCAACGCTGTTGTGGTAGCTGCTTTTTGCCAACCTCCCTCTGGCCAGTCCAAGGAAGATTGAAAGCTCAAGGTGTCACGTGCTATTTTGGTCAGATAGGGTCCTTGGAATAACACACAGTTGCTTCAATTTAAGTTCATACTTAACGCGTGCTTAGCCTCAGGTGCCTTTAACATCTGACAATCAAACTCTTCTATGGTACCATATGAGACTATATATATATATATAACAGCCATGATGAAAGCGCAAATCCCAACTCAATCATGGAGCAAGGGTCTGATCTTGTTTCTTGAGCAGTAATCAAGCCAACTTGCAGTAGCACGTTGAAAGCGAATGTCAACTCCACCATCCTCACCGAAAAGTGGTAAGAGCACAACCAAGGCTGAGGCCAACCAGTAGCGGCCTTATTGCCCAAGATGAAAATTATGCCACAGGTCCGGGCGCAACATCCAAGGGTGAAAGCTAGGAGAGGCTGGAAGCAGGTCCACGAAGGGTGCCAATGTATTCCAAGGGGCAAGCGAAGCGGCGGATCCCATTGTCGCAAGGAACCTTGCTAATCCATCACACCCTGCAAGGCAGATGTGGCATATACCTTCACCAATCATAGCTGAGTCCCCTTTCTTTGGAGCTCTTCTGAAGTGTCGTGTGAGAGAACCAGCTTCGATCAGCCAAGGCCAGTCACCCTTGATCGACACAACTGCCACCCTCAAAGGCAAGTCAGAAGCTTCTAATACAATTCCTTCTTTCATGAAGGCAAGAATATCCTCTGCAATGAGCGTCATTGCTTTTCGGAGAACTGCTGGATTGTCCCAATAACTCTCTTTGAGGGCAGCAAAGGATAGAAAACGTGTCGTCTCCTTATTTGTAGCAAAGAACATCACAAGCTGTCACAAGCACACTTCCAACAAAGTGGTGGGGTTCAGCTCCAGGCAGTAAATCTGGTGGTTGCACACTGCAAAAGCAAAACTTGTAATTATTATCGTCTAAGTTTCACAGCTACCCAGAAAATTCAAGTTCATGGCCTGCTTCTGCACAGCAGCCGGCAAAGTAGTAGATCTGCTTGTCCCAGCTCCCAGAACTGGTTGCCAGCTGATCAACATGATGGGCGACTTCTTTTTGCCTTGGCACTTATATATACATGACTGGCCTGTCATGCTTGAGCAGACAAACTCTCCATTAAAAAGGGTTACAAGGATTACGATTACAAAAACTATTCAAGATACTTCGGCCCTCGTCACCGTGTATCTTGACTGGCACAGTCAACTGCAGCTGTTGGGGCGTCAGCTCCTCAAAGATCCTGTGATCATCATACAGTGCTCTGAAGCGCCGCCAATACTCCTGCAAAATGACCCTCGTGGATTGCAGGTCTGCTGCAGGTAGCAAAAGATCCAGCCGATTCTCCTGTTGCAAACACCGTGCAAAGTCCACAGGCCGGATCCAGGGATAGTCATCACGTTCACCTATTCGATCCCTGCTCACCCGCATAGGAGCTCGAAGGTTTACAGAGTCAAACGCTGCAAACGTTTGCCTTGCCTCGACTGCTTTAGAACGTTTTTTGTCACATGTTTGAACCTTATATCTCGGTCTATATATTATAAATACTGCAAATGCATCTAAGATACTGCATGTGTTGGGCCACCCCTTGCTATCCGCTTCAGCACACGATCATTTCTTTGAATGCCAAGCGCAGCATCATCTTCCAGGATGGCCCTGGCAGTTTCCACCAGCTGCACTGCAGGTACCTGCAGACCAAGTTTTGTACAAGTCGAAGTTGCGTTACTTGTCGGGCATTTCCATCGAATTATTTTATCAAAGTATATTAGATCGATTCATTTGTTGAAATATATGTGTCCGATCTATATGTTATATATTGTCGATATATTTCATGATAAATAATGTATCATGGAAAAGTTACCTTGATCAATAGTCCAATTTGCTGTCTACGATACGAAACGTATATATCGATCTATACTAGGACATGATGTAATTCATGTATACTATATATCATGTGCGTTTATCATGCATGCTTGGGCAGCAAGGGCAGCAGCAGCAGTGCGCTGTTTGGACCAAGCTGCCCCTCGAGCAATGCTTTTGGCGAAGCTTCTTGCTGTACTGCTGCAACCTGGCTGCAATCAAGTGAAACTTGCTTGCACATGGCGTGGTATGAAGAGTACACATCTTGGACGTGAAGACTTTTTCCGCTTTGACATAGCACTTGCTTCCAGTGTCTACTGTGGGCCACTGCACCATTCATGATCAAATATTTTATACTGTATATTGCATATAATATACAGTACTATAATCACATGATATGCCACTTAAGCATGTATTAAATTATTGTATGGCCCACTATGCATATTACGCAGGGTCCACATTCCATGACCTGCACACACACAACGCACGCCCGCAGTGTCAGCAGGAAGGCGTTTCAAAGATCTTGCTTTGCAAGAAAAACCCCATCACATGGCAGCACACGCCATGATCACCGTGATCAATCCTGCTGCTCTTCATCCTGCTGTTCCTTCTTTTTGGGAGCGCTCTTCGCCTTCCCCTTACCTTTCGCCTTGGGCTTCCCTTTGGCCTTGGCTTTTTCCTTGGGTCCAGGCGTAGATGGAAAATCAGTTCCATTCTTGCTCTTGTTCTTCTTGGCCTCGGCCTGTAGTACCTTGTAGGAATGCTCTTTGGCCAACATCTTGACACACCTCGGATGGCTGTGCGTGTAGTATTGGTTTTACAGGCTTCTTAGGTAATTAAATGGTGCGGCTAGGACACGGCTCACGAGTCTTGTCCTTGGCATCCTTGATCATGGAAACCACCCTCAGATTTTGAGGCGATTATGCACACATAAAAAAATATACACATGGTGCTGGCAGTAAGTCGCAAAAGCCTAGGCATGCAGCCAATGGGCGCGTCACTCATTCCGTCCACCTCCAAGAAGTGTTGGCACTTTGCCAGGTCCTCGAAGCAGCTCTCCATGGATGTCAAAATGTGTCTGCACTCCGCTGAGAACCTCAGAGAACAACATACTGCACGTGATATGGTGATTCCGTGTCTCATGTATGTGCTGGACAGAATAATACTTCATGGCAAGTTGCTGCTCCATCCTCGGAGTAGGACAAGGATTGGCTGGCACCTCCAAAGAGGTAATCCAAGAGGTCAGGTTCGAGGCTTTCTGGTGAAAAGCTTCAATGAACTTGTGCAAATTGGCTTTGGCCTGAAAGCATGCGTGTGAATGCTGCATGCATACTATAATAGTTTAATATCCATGAAGGTTATTGACCGATATCAGTATCACATGCACGATATATACTCTCACAAATGTTCTTGCTTGCAGGCCGATATTTGCCAAATGATATTTTCAACGTATATAATATACTATTCATGGCCTCATCCGCCGTGTTCAGCTGTTGACCTCCAGAAGCCATGGCTTGCAGTGCGCTTGGTGCTTCCTTTGTCGCGCTTGGTTCCAACTGCATCATCTCAAACTCAGGCATCTCCTCGTCTGGCTCCATGTCTTCTGTCCACTGCGCCTTCTCGAGATCCTTCCGCTTGACTGTGACCTTGTCATGCGTTTGCACAAAGTACTCGGGCACACTCTCATCGTACTTCCACTTGCGGACTAGGACTGTAGGGAACCTCATGCAATAAGCCTTGATCTTCTTTATGAGGTTCCTCAGCCGTTGCAGCGAAAGAACAAAATAGTACTATAGTCATGGCCTCTCATAAAAACATGCGTGCATATATAGCCTTAATTTTTGTAACAAGGCTCGCGCTGTATTTCAGTTCTGATGCCATCCTTTCCTCTGTGTACCAACCCCCTTCGATTTCCTCCTCCCTCTCCTTTAGGCGCTCCTTCACATAGATCATTTGCTGGGTGAACTCTGCCTGGCAGGGCTGGTGTTTTTTCATGGAGCGAGTTGTGGGTCAATCAAACAATATAATAATTATGAGGAAACATCTATTATACATGTTGCCAGACCCCGCACCCTCACAAGTTCTCGAGTCTTCTTGTTGTCATCCATGCCATGGATCTTCAAGGCATTCACCAAGGCAAGGCAGAGCTCATCCCTGCACCCTCTGGTCCACTGCTCGTGGATCTCTGGGCTGACCTGCAGGCGCCCTGACGCTTTCTTTTCACAGAGGCGGCGGCATCTCATGTAGATGGCATGTGGCGTCAGCTCCTGGCAAATCACAAATTTCTTTAGTTCAATATACGGTGAGAAAATCAAACATGATTTCAGAAGGGTCCTTCGAAGACAAGTCGTACACCTCCAACAACTCCTTCTCATTGTCAAGCGGGGGTGTGGCAACTGGTGAAGTCTCCCCAGGGACTGTCTCTTCAATTCCTTGGCATGTTGTGAACTACTGCTACACTGAAATGTAGGATTGATTTAAAAAATATATAGAGACAATCATGATTATATGCATGTAGGAGTCTTTGTCTCTTCTTGGCTGGCTCAGCAACCAGAGAAGCACCAGGAGTTGAAACTTCACCAGGAGGGAGAGCCATTGAAGCCTGTTGGGCGGTGCCACGCGTTATATATAATACATAATTGATTTATAGTTTGTAGTGTACACGCGTAAAATTTATAATATAATATAATATAGTTTATGATATCAATGCGCAGGAACATTTTTAATATACAGTATATTTTAGATATCAATGCTATCTTGAACTATCATGATCATATTTTGTGATATAAATAATATATACAATACATGCAAGCCAAGCAACAGGAATCTCAGGTAGCTCGCACGTTGCAGCTGCTTGTGTTCGTGCAGCTTCAAGCTCAGCCGCTGCTGCCGCTTCCCTTGCCTTCTGCAAAGCCATTTTCGCAGCCTCTGCGCGCGCCACAGCTGCCTCCGCTTTGAGCCTACGTTCCTCCTCAGCTGCAAGAGCAGCGTTCGCCTGAGCTGCTTTTTGGGCTACAGCTGCAAGCCTAGCCTCCTCATCAGCCTTCTTTTGCTGAGCCACCTGCTGCTCTTCAGCTGCAAGTCTCGCCGCTTCTTTCTCCTGTGCCCTTTTCGCTTCAGCTTTCATCTTCTCTTCAGCAACTTTTTGGGCTTCAGCGGCAAGCCTGGCCTCCTCTTCAGCCTTGGCCCTCTTCTCCATGGCCTCAGCAGCAAGCCTGGCCGCTGCTTCAGCCTTCGCCTTCTCCTCAGCGAGCTGCGCTTCCATCCTGGCCCTGTCCTCAGCCATCTTTCGAGCTTGGGCTGCAAGCCTCTCCATCTCCATGGCTTCAGCAGCAAGCCTGGATGCTGCTTCTGCCTTTGCCCTCTCCTCAGCTGCATGCTTAGCCTCTCGTTCGGCCTTTGCCTCCTTGGCTGCTTCTGCAAGCCTAGCCTCCTGCTCGGCCTTTGCCCTTGCCTCAGCGGCGTCAGCAGCAAACCTGGCTGCTGCTTCAGCCTTGGCTTTCTCTTCAGCTGCTTTTCTACCCTCATCTGCAAGCCGAGCTTCCTCTTCAGCCTTTGCCTTCTCTTCAGCTGCTGCAAGCCTAGCCATCTCTTCTTCCTCTCTTCTTTTGGCTTCCGCTGCAAGCTTCGCCTCTTCTTCAGCCTTCTCAGCTGCTTTTTGGGCTTCCACTCGTTCAGCCCTAGCTGTCTCCTCAGCCTTTGCCTTCTCTTCAGCTGCTTTTTTGGCTTCGGCTTCTGCAGCAAGCCTGGCTTCTTCGGCTTTTGCTCTTTTCACAGCAGCCTCTGCTTCTTCAGCCTTCACCTTCTCCTCAGCCATTTTTTGAGCTTCCGCTGCCCTTGCTGTTGCCTCTTCTCCCTTCACCTTCTCTGCAGATTCCTGGTCCCTAATGGTTTGTTGTTCCTCCTGCAGAGTCTCTTGTGTAAGTGTTTCTCGCAAACTGACATCGGTAAGGCCATAGTGCATGGTTGGCATTTGTGAGTAGAACTCTTCAGTCTCTAAGGAATGCAGCTGCGCCGCCGCTTCCTCAGCCGCCTTCTGAGCCAGAAGAGCTGCCTCCTTTGCCTCTGCTGCCCTGGCTTGGGCTGCAGCAGCCTGCGCCGAAGCTTGCTGTGGCAACAGAGCATTTTGAGGCGTGGCCACACCAGCGACAGCCTAGGTGCATGGCATTATGTTCGAGCGTGTTATATTGGTGGTTTCTAAATATCATATATCCAGGCATGCGCGCATGTTATATTGGAGACTTCTACTATCCATGGTTCAGGATGAATCTCAAACTATTATATATTAATTAATACAAGTGGCAGGCCGGCAGCGGTTTGGGCACAAAGAGTCCATCAGTTGCGCCTCATGCACATGCTCCTTTTTCATAATATAGCGGCCCTAAGCATGCATGTGCATTTTATATATTATATAAATGACATGTGGACTGCTAATCGAGTCAGGGCACCATAGAATCCACTTGATGGCAATCAGGATGCATAGCGATGTTCCCTTCGGTCTCCTCCATGTCAAGCATTGATACATGAGCCAACCCTATAACAACAGCCATCAGCCCGGCCTCCAGCAAACGCTCGAGCTCCTCCAACGACTTCCCGTGAGTCTCAGACAGGAGGCTCTTCTTCAAGGCCACAGCTGCTTCGTCAGTGAGCATGGTCGCACCCTCTACAAGTTCCGAACAGCTCCAAGCACGGCTTTGGAGCGACTGCATGTGATTGATCCCCGAATGGCTATCGTCATGTATATATATAGGCAACGATAGGAAATACCCAATACATGCCTTCGTAAAGCAAATACACGTCCTGAATTCTCGCGCCAAATCCGGGTTTTCTCGCGCCAAATCCGGGTTTTCTCGGGTCTAGTCCGGGTCTGGATTTTCTCCGGGTTCTAAAAGTTATTTCTCCGGGTTGAATATTTATCAATACATGCTCCACCCCTACCTCTTAACATAAAGCAAAACATGCAAATACATGCTCCACTCATTTTTTCCCTTCGTATCAGCTATAATCTTCACATGCATATTACATCAAATATACAATGGAAATCTATTCTTCCATCTGGATGGCACCATCAGGCGCTTGGAGCCCCTCATGTAGATGACCGCTGCCTCCAACCCAGCCTGCCGCAGATAGATGCGCGCAAAGTGCACAACGTACTGCAAATTGAACACCCAGCCTCTGGCCATGTGCTCCAAGGCATCTGGTAGAACATCTCCGGTGCGCTTACCCCTGGAAGCTCTTCCAAGTTGCCGCAGCCAGAGGAGCGCAGGACATGAATGTAGCGCTGCATGTGGAGTCCAAATGGAATTGGGTACGACCTGAACAAGCAGAACACAAAAAACAAAAGCAATCTGCACTCATGGCTGCATGTATACAGTTCACAGGCAATTGAGGCCGGGGCTGCGTTTTCTTCAGGTGCTTGTTCCCAGACCATGTTGTTTTCAAGTTTCCTGAAGCATCCACCTTCACCGATCTGTCTGTTGTCTTGACTGGGCATGCATCGCGCTCCTTCTTGGTCAACACACCCCGGTTGAGAACAGAGATTTCCTTGCTGTTGGACCAAGCTCTATGCCGCTTTGGAGTCAAAGCTTTGAAGTGTCGCGCCCACCAGCCTATCTGCCAAGCTTTCGACCAAAGGCTGCGACAAAGCCATTCGAAGCGAGGGTACCATGCCAATCTGCTGCTGGCCGGTTGCTCTATGAACCAGCAGCCACCCAGCATTTGCATGAGAGCTGCCAACAGGATAGACCTGCTTGCACAGCAGTTTCCAGATGCTACGTAAGGCAGGCTGGTGTCACCATATGGTACTACTGGGCTCCTCTTTGATGTAGCCACATTGCAAGCCGAGAAAGAGGTGCACACAATAGCAAGCAAGCCAAAAAAATCTCCAGCTTCTGTGTGCAATAGCACCCAAATTGCAAGCCTAAGCCAACAACATGCAAGCAGTATTTATATATAGTATCTCGAACCAACGCGCACTGTGAGTGGCAAGGCTGACATGCAACTGAGCAGCGCTATTCCTGGGGGAGTAGTCATATCAAAAGCGTTCCACTGCCCACGCGGAGTGATTGGCCCATATCAATGTCCAGCTGTGCAGTCATCAGGCATCCAAAGCGGCAGCTTTTGCCAAAGTGTCCAGTGCCGCTGAAGAATTCTACAACCTGAAAGGGCTTCTCCACAGGCGGCATCCCCTGGTTGAAGTACACAAGGACAACTAGGAAGACAAAAGCCTGCAAGATTGAATTCACAACATGGTTATTCGCAACGTGTATATTCATGTTGCACAAGACTCACAGCCCATTGGGCCTTCGGCATTCCAATCCGCATGAGCTTTACAGTCAACCTTGGAAGTTTGAAGTATATATATTGCACACACCAACGTTGTTTGAGTAATTAGGTTGCAAGCAGGTAGCTTATCCAGGTCATCTTCACTGCTCACTGAGAAGGGCATGGCGCTAAACAGAGATTGAATGTAATATATATTATCCATAGATGGCAATCCAATCCATGCTATATATAAAATGCAGGTGCCACAAAATAATTAATATATATCCAGCGCTTTTATCGATCAAGTTATATTATATGTATGCTGCGTGTTCCTTGATCCACCAAACATGTCATGTCATCGTGCACACATTACAACTGCACTGCCAAACACGAGTTGCTACGCTGAAGACAGGCTGGCTGCACCGAAGCTGCGGCTTTGCTTCTGCCGCTGGGCGAAGCCAAGCTCAGGCCTGCGCAGCCGCACTGGCGACCTGGTAGCCGCTGCGCCGCCTCGCAACTTCCTGCCCTTGGCCATGAAGCGCCGCCTGCAAACAGGCTGGGGTCGTGTATGGCGGTCACCTCATGTTAAAACATATAATACAGGCCAACGATATATATTATATTTATCATGAATAGATTGCATGCGATATTATATATTGTATTTATCAATCGAGCATTGAGGCGCTATAATACAAATCGATAAAATACTATTATGATAAAACGAAGTTCACTCAAGGCAGCTCGCCCTTTTTTCCTCATCCTCAAGCAGCGCTCCAGAGATCACCTTTCAGACCTCCTGTGGCGGGGATGCGAGGTTTTCCTCCTCCTCCGCCTATCTCGGTCTCGAGATGTGCCCGGCGAGTCATCCGCAGGCCTGGGCCTTGATGGTCGAGCCCTCTCCTGCTCCCGGCCCTTTGCCATCCCTTTCTTATAGGCAGCCTGCCAGAGCTCCTCCATCTCCGAAACATCTCCTGGCAGA